TGATGGTAATGTACAAATAATCATATGGTGCAGGATTGTTTTCAACTCTTCAACATTAGCTAGATCTGTACTTCTTACATTTCTGCCCAACATAAAACCAAGAGGATTAACTTGACCTGTGTAAAACTTGTATATATCTGCCTGAACTCAAGTTGTTATTTCTAAACGATCAGTATAAAGATCCTCACCGAGTTTATGGAATAAACAACACATCGATCACTAGTAACAAATAGTTAGTTCTCTTAATACCTAACACTTGTAGGAATAATAAATGACGAGAATGGGAAATACTATACAAACGCACTTCTCTAAGCTATACCATTGCCCAACAGAAGATCAAATGATTGTTTAATTGTAACCAGTTCAATAGATGCATGAAAGCGTCAAGGAGATTTGTATCTAGCTGGCATTGATGTGAATATCAAAATCTTGTTTAGTAGATTATCGAGTCATGAGAACCATCTCTTGTATGTGAAATATCCTCATTCGTCTTTCACTTATGCTTATAATCATCCAATAACTATTTTACCAGTGAGTTCTAGATAAGTATAAATAAAGGAGAGAAAAACTAACAAGGAGTCAATGAACCAATCAGACTAATTCTGTGTTAAAGGTTTCCATCGAAAACGCATGATCTGAATGATGGAAGTCTCTTGAAATTTACTCACTATTGTTTTTAAAATTTGACAAGAATCAGTAACTCGTCCATGAGTCCTCTGTTATTTGCATTGTTTATAGTGTTATCCCACTGTTGACAAAAATCCTTGAGGTAAACATCCCTTTCTTGATCGTTTTTGTATCTCTGGCTAGTTAGAGATGAAACCGACAGATATTAAGACAGACACAGTTCTTCTTTAGATTTATTTCATCTTCTCTTTCAAATTGTCATTTATCTTCAATGCAAAACTTGCGGTTTTATCTGAATTTTCCAATTTTTTTCTTTTTTATAGTTCAACTTACATCGGTCAGAACATCCGGTCTTCCTTGGACTCAGTTTACAGTGATAACCAGTGACTTAGTGACGTAAAGTTAAACGGCTAACTAAATTGAAGACGATCCATTTTTTCTCTATTTTAAACGCTATAGCATTCACTAACGTTCACCAGAACCGTTACATTTATCACTAAACGACTAATTTTCATACCTAACACTCTACTGCGTTGCTAGATGATGCAGATTAAAGTCTGTGATGCAGGATGTGTCACAATGAACTTTACTGCCAAACCCTTCCTCTGAATGCTTGACAAACATATAATCTCAGGTTCAAATCACTAAGGGAATAACAGCACCTTTGCGGTTGAAGATTACAACTTGCCGATGAGTGCTAGAAACCACAAAACCCAGACCAGGACATTCTACTTGTTGACTTTCACCATAACATGAAAATTCATAGGAATTACATGAGCCTGGGTGATGCACAAGACCATTGCTAGTCGATATGCTAGTAAACGGACCCAACCTGTGCTGACCATTACAACAGTATCATCCTACATCTGGAAGATATGAAATACCTATCAAAATCTCTCAGACTTCAACCTGAAATGTCCTAAGAAAGTTCAAGATTATCAACATTTTCATCTGAAAGCGTGACTGACGTTGTAGTTAATGCTAATCAGATGATGTTCGAATAGGTTGTTCCTTTATGTAAAAAAGGTAACCATCTCGATCAGTATGTCTACAAAAAGCAGAAGAAGCGCGGCGGCAGATTGAAGAGACCTTTCTCACTTTCTCTTATTTGGTTTATTCTGCATGAAGACGTTTTAAATCCAGTAATATACCTTCGTATCATACCCGAAGCCATCGATGTTACTGCCAACAGATGAAGACCATTAAGAAATAAAGTTTTGACTTGGAGTTAATTTGCCTCATATCTTTGATAGTTTGAAAAGTCTGCCGAATGTCAAGCAATGAAAAAATTACTCGTACACCTGTGTTCGCATGTAGAACATAGGAGTAAACTACATGTCACAGTCGACAGCATCAATTCAATAGTAATAAACTAGCAGACTTTCATATTTTGCTTGTCATAGTAACCAGTAAGACTATATCTGGCTTTAGAAGTTAAAATATACTTCCCTTGTTTCAAACTGTTGAAGCATTTAGTTTTCAGTAAGAAAGCTTAATGTAATCAACAGCTAGGTATGACCATTTTGGAACTCATCAATGTGATGAGCCGGTTACTAGCTGATTTCTAATGTTAGGTGTAAGTAAAGGAAACGAAAAGACAGAGACGAAGAAAGAAATGTTCATTAATAACATGTGGTACAGTAGTCATCAAATATGGTACACCTTACAGCAAGACAGTCATTTGCATAATGTGCCTCATTTCCTCTCCTGCTTCTCTTTTGATCTGCTCTTCATACGCCAACGTTGTTTCTTGGGTTTCTGTTGGCACAATCCTAACCCATTGCTGGTAATTCCTTACGATTTCTGTCACCCTCTCAATATATACTACCTGTATCCATTATTATCAACAACGCCCACTACATTAGAATATGAACAAAGACAAGAATAAATGCATGAATATAGTTTCCAAGATCCCACAGTTGTAAACTAAAGTTCATTGTGATGCTTGCAAACAAGATGTATTCATAAACCCAACGGAATACACGAACCCTATTTCACTTTAATTCAAATACACATTTTTCAACATTAAAGTCTACAGAATTACCCCGATGTTTTCCAAATGTGACAGACCTCTACAAACCGCCCCCCCCCCCCCCGCCCCCTCTTAAACTATCAGTCACCACTCAACTTCTACTAATAAGTGAGATCTAAACAGTGTTAGGTACATGGGATTTTACATCTGGATTTAAAGTGTAGGATCATTGCAGAGGATTTTGAAGTCACAAGCAAAAGAATATTCAAACTTTTAGACGGTTTTCAATGACATACCATTTTTTTTACAACCATTTAGTGTGTAATCAACTCCAAATGATTTGCGAAAATTCTGAGCTTCAATAATTCCATTTCTAACTGCTGACTACACTGTATATGCAATTGATAACTGGATGAGATTTGCAGTTAATCTGCTTGGTAATATGATACTCATGTATCACCTTTCTAGGCATTTAGTCATTAAATCGACATTTTAAATCTCACTTCTATCCACAAAATTGTGTTCAGTCTGAGAAAGAAAAATTTTCATTTGACTATTTGAGATAGCCGTAGTTTGGCAAACTTTTAGTTATACTGGATGATGATTGAAGGTGAGATGAAGATCCGGACCGTGGACGGATTCGAACCAGCGACCACCGGGTTACCGGCCCTGTGCTGTACTAACTGAGCTACAAGGTCCGACTGCTAACCAGATTTTTGTTTTACTTCAATCACCATGAGTTTTGCCCGACTATAATGTGAATTCGTAACGCGTTACTACCGCTATCTCTGATAGTCAAATGATAATCAATATGATACCTCCCACCTCTCTGATTCCAATTGGGATGAGAAGTCTTGACTAAGCAGCAGCCTGTATCTGTTCAATCAAGCGGTAGTAACGCGTCACGAATTCACATGGTAGTCGGGCAAAACCCTCGCTGATTGAAGTGAAATAAATTTTGGTCACCAGTCGGACCTCGTAGCTCAGTTAGTGGAGCACGGGGCCCGTAACTCCATGGTCGCTGGTTCGGGTCCGGGGATGGTCCAGATTTTCATTTCACCTTCAATCATCACCCAGTATAACGAAAAATTTGTAGCACAAAACAAACCGTGTTTTCCAGCTGATCATAGAAACAGTGTTTGTCAACCGCGGAATGATTTAAAAACGTGTATACGCTCTATTTGGCAACTCATCACATTTGGGTTGGAGTTCATCATGAACTGACATCAGCTGGAGGAACATTTGTAGCTTGGGAGCACTGGATAGCTAGTTCCTCCTAGTATGGAAATCTTCAGCAATGCACACTCATGACTATGGCGAGGACCGAAAATCAATCAATGAAAAATCCTTGACAAACCTCCAGATAGAACTAATCTAGCGATCATTGGTGACTAGCTTCGAGAGGTGATTCCCGAAGTTCCAATGAGAAGTCGTGACCAGTGGAGTCGACCAAGTCGAATATGAAGATGGTTACTCAACGACGACATTGGATGTAGGTCGCGCTACATCGTGAATTGATAGGAGTAGGAAATACGGACGATTGAATTCCGACCTAGTGGCTCAATGGTAACGTGTTGGCCACGGAACCTGAAGGTCTTGGGTTCGATCCCTGGTGGGGTGGGGTCATGGGTGTGGGCTGCTGAGGAGTCCCACAGTAGAACGAAACAGCTGTCCAATGCCCTTAGATTTCCAATGTTCTTCCGACTGATGTCAATTCATAATGAATTCTAACCTAAAATCAATTAATTAAATCTCCACAAACCTCCAGACAGACTTGTTACATTTGTTCGATGACATATTATGTTAGTCAAAGTATGATAAAAGGTGTTGGGAATTCGACGTCCACCGTCTGTATACACATAACCATTCACCTATATATTACCGAAGTACTTTCATCATTTTTTGCTGAGATATTCCTTGGATCGAATTATTCAACTGAACTGTCACTGAAGTGTCGAATTGGTAGTTGGTAAACCCACTCATAGCATTTTCTTTCTCTGTAGCCTTTTTTCATGTAGATCAGTTAGTTAAGTATGGTGATAGTAAAGATGAGATGGCTCACCTAGAATTTATATTGGTCAGATTGATAGTCATCCATTTATATATAAGTGGATGGTTGAGTTAATTAAACCAATCGAATGTCAACTACGCTGTCCAATCACCTCTAAGGTAAATACGATTTAATCAGATGGATATGAGCGAGTAGATGCTTATTACCGATAGTCTTATCCACACACATACTACTCGATATATATATATATATATATATATATATATATATATATATATATATATATATATGTTACCTACATATATATACCATTCTGATTGGTTAATTATAGAATTAATCACGAGTGAATGTTTATGTGAGAATAGGATAGGTAAAATTTGAAATGTATTCAAATTGGAAATATTGAAACGAATCAAATAATAATTTCAGTCAGATTTCTAGAATTTAAAAAATTGGTCAACATTATACAGCGCTATTTTTATTTTACTACGACTGGTACTATTTAAAGGAGGATATCGGTTATATATATATATACACGTCTATATATGTCTCGATATGTCTATAAATATGTTCTGGATAAAAGTGCAAAATAACGTGCACACTTATGGGAATCCATAAACAAATATATTTATCAAGACAATGTAATTGATTAATTGATTAATGGCCATTGGGTTTTGGCGGACTTTGTATTTGGTTATCAAAACTATTTGTTATATGCATCTATTTATATCAAAAAGATATTTCTTAGTTGTTAAAACAGTTACAGCAGATCGATTTGGTAGTCAGTTAAATGAACTTGATAATCATCAATATTCATATCCATCATTATACAGATTAGAGTCATATCGTATTAACAGTAGGCAGAGTTCGAATACTCGCCCATCATATGGTATTTATACTTCAAGTCAACAACAACAACAGCAACATAGACAACAAGAGTATATACCAATTAGTGAACTTGTTAATTTATCCTATCCATCGATTGTACATGAAAATAAATGGAATACCTATATGAACCGTGTAAATAATCAATATGTCAACAATACTACTGCCAATTCTGATAGTAGAAGTAACAGTATTAGTAATAATCAATCACATGGGACTTCATTTTCAGCCAGTTTATCCAATTCAGTATCCTCTTCATCCTCTTCCACTTCATTATCATTGTTAGGCACAATATACACCCCTAAAATATCTTATGCCGGTGAATCAAAGACAGAACAAATTTTAAAGTATATACTCACTAATTATAAAACTCATGAAAGACCGAATGAAAATTCAATTGATCCAACAATTGTTAGTGTATTCATTCATATAATCGATGTGTCATCAAGTAATGTTGTTCTAATGGAGTATACAATTAATTGTTACCTACGTCAACAATGGCAAGATCCACGTTTATCTTGGGATACTGATCCAGTGTTAAGCAGTTCAGTAAAAGATCTTCTACTAAATCAACAAAAAAAACAACTTTGGTTACCTGATTTATTTTTTCGTAATGGGAAATCTGGATTTCTACACGATATGTCTCAACCGAATTATTTACTTCGGGTAAAATCTGATGGACAGGTATTGTATAGTCAAAAGATTACAATGGTATTATCATGTCAAATGTATCTGAAAAAGTTCCCTATGGATAAACAGGAGTGTACAGTAAACATAGGCTCTTATGGATATACAATTGATCAGTTGAAATTTGTATGGCATCATGAAAAACCGGTAACAATAGCCGAGGATTTAAAGTTATTAGAATTTGAAAGTCCACAAGGTGCATACACTTTGGTAAGTCAATAAGCTGACCCCCTTTCATTCTCATTGATTCTAATATATTCATCCAATTGAGTTATGTAATCTGTATAAGTGATCATGGGCATCGTAGTTGGATAGATTTTCTAGTTACTCAAATGTTTATTTGAGCTCTGCTGGATGACAGAACTTGACTAATACTGTACTGTTAGGTAACCAAGTTCAGTCTTCGTTGTATAATATGCTTCTTCCCCCGTCTCTCTCTCCCTCTGGCTATAATTCATGGCATACAGACAATATGCATATATCACTACTGATCTTTTGAGTGGTTCCACGTATACTAAGAGTATCCACAGCATAATTATGAGCTTCAGGTCAAGTGTAGATGATAATGGTAAAAAATTAGTAAATACAGTCGAAGTTAGGAACATAGCAAGATTCGAATAGGTATGATGAGTTGGCTGCCAGTCTGTAGCTCTGGTGACCTAGCTATAAGAACTAGTTGCTCAGCTGGCGGCCTGCAAGCAAAACAACCGTCATCACCAATTATTTAGCTACTACCGTCTTCCACAGTCTGATAAAAATGGAAATTATTCGCAAACGTATTCATATTATTGAAGTGTGAATTGTATATTTACTATGTAAGCTAATGACATTGTTTATCGACGTAAATTAGTAAGGATGGTGTGAAACCAACATATGATAGAGTTAAGGATGGATAGTATTTGCAGTTTATCAGCTAGATGTACCTGGATCTTGGTTACCGATGATTTTCCCATCGAAACTGGAACCCAACATTCATGACTCAAACTATGGGGTGTTACCCATATGGCTACTAAGTTACAATAGTCACTCCATGTGCAGTAGGCTTAGTTCGATGTTTGAACTTGTTGTTTCTTATTACTGAAGGGGTTGTTCTAAGGATTGCATCACAAAGTTAAGGATGATATGCAATAGATAAGATATCATTTTACAACATTTTCGTCTGCTGATCTCAATCAAGCCAGGAAGTTTTGATTCGATGACTTTAGGCCTTAAGATTATGCGAATGAATTTCTAAATGATTTGACTAAAAATCAGCTATTACAATGCAAGTGTTATATTATTATCATTTGTCCCTTGGGTTCCTAGTGGAACATACGGATTCAGTAGCACGTCGCCATTTCATTCTCTTCTCACCAGTCTTCTCACCCTCACCTTGGATGCGCAACTCGTCGTTTCCCCTTGGGGTTTGACTCCAAGGCCTGGCCTGATATATGATGTCCCCAAACCGTCTTCTTTCTCAGTGTATGTCCAATCCAATCCAATCCAATCCATCTCCACTCTCTTCCTCTGCCTATTTTTTGGATGATGGGTTGTTGGTTCGTTCATTTCGGGGTCAGCCAGAGTTCCTTGTTGTTTATTCATTTTATTCTAGCCATCTGATCTGGTCTTCAGTATCGAGTGAGTGTAGGTGGCAGCTATTCATGTGATGCATGTGTGCAGTTTGTTGGAAATGCTTCTGATAACGCACCACCAACTCTCTCAACCATCACATAGAAGCATTGACTGACTGACTGACTTGACTGAATTAATGTTGAAAGTGCGGATGTTGTTCACACTTTATGCTGAATGCAGTGTAGTTCAGTGCAGGGGAGTGGAGTGCAGTAAATCTCCACACTGATTTTAGATTAATGCAAGAAGACCTATCTTGCTGTCTTTCCAATCCTAGCTTTGATGACAATGCCAGCGTAAGAATTCTTTATCGTCATTATGAATCGTAATGTTTTTATCACTGCATTCCATCTTCCTCCTAATCTCCTGATGCATTTTTTCTTACGCATTCTGGTACTTTTCTGTATGTCTATAGCGTTATGGAAAATGTGGGACTGGAACGATCCATTTCTGTGTAATGTTTCACATTGTCTTGACTAAGCATCTTATGGAAATTTTGAGTTAACTAAGGTCAATATCATATATATATATATATATATATATATATATATATATATATATATATATACTGCGAATTCAAATAATCAAGTGTATTATGTCTAAAAATAGTCTGAATTGAAGGAAGTCAGTATCGATTTACACAGACCAGTTTGTTTACAACATTTTAATCAACAACAACTTGAGTAGGCATATCTAAATGTAGAGTATAATCTACGTTTTCGTGTTAACTTTGAAGTTATATTCTAGTAGGATTCATTTATCAGTTTCCAGCATGGATTATACATACTGTTCAGTGATATCTACCAATACGGTCAGTCAATGAGCCATTTATCTTACACAGGAAGATGTAGGCCATTTCTGTTTTCCTAGCTATCTGTATAACATTATTCAATCTCAAAGGTGAGTTTTTGCTCTTGGTTTATTACTTATAGTGATTTTAAACTAGACTTTGCATCTGTATTGCCTTTCTCATCACTTTTACCGTGTATTATTTTGAACCAAGATTCATTTTCCTGACCTTTGTAATGTAACCTCTAGGAAGAAGGTTTATGAGGGTTTATTGATTTCACCTTGGTATTCACTACTCACTGACACCAGTTGGAGAACCATTGAAAACTTAGAAGCAATGGGTAGCTGTTCTCTCCTAGTGCGGAGCACAACAGTAGTCCACATACTTGACTCCATCAGAGATGAAAGGCGAAACTTTCAGCTTTCGTATAGAGCTGGCTACCATTGTGCCACTGCATCCTGCGTTGGATCCCTGATGGGGTCATAGGTGTGCACTCCTGAGAAGTCCCATACCAGATCAAAATAGTTGTCCAGTGATCCCAAATCTTTGTTGGCTTTTCAGCTAATATCAGTCTGCAGTGAGTGCTTCCACAATGTATGCATAGTTATCATAACCAAAATGGTTGATAGTGACTGGCAACTCAGCCTACGACTCCATTTGTCGAACTTCTTCTAAGCACTTGAATGAGATAGTTGAAGGAACAACAGAATTCTTTTTATTTAAAATCTTTATGAATCATTAGTCATAAATTCTAATTTTTTTTGAAGGAGTCAGGCAAAGGGAACTCTTGCAGTTATAAAAGTAATTTAACATTCAGGCTTTCTTTGTAGGATTAAGTAGGTTTCATGCCAAACTAACTGAGCAATCTTCACTCCCCTGAGGTTGCACACTAATTCCACACAAATTGAACGAATTTGTTATATCTTTTTGAAAACCTAATGTGTTCAGTAAGCAAATCAGGAATCGAACTTTTCGACTTCTCAGGTGTAATATTTACAGTTTCGAATAAGCATAAACAGTTTTATAGCCTTAGAGAATGTTAGTTAGTAATTACACTAAATAACTGGAAAAACGTTTCCTATTTGATATTGCTTGAAAAGCTTATAGACACTAATGAGACAGTGAAAAGAAAGTTCCATTCTAATCTGCCACTGTTTAGCTGTACAGAATTTTCGACAGGCAGATACACTAGAGTAGAAAACTTGATCACTTCAGAATGCTACATTTTATAAAACATTATAAAAAGTGGAAGTCAATGAAAGTGAACAGATTTTAAGATGATGAAGAAAAAGGGGTGTGAGTAAGTACAGATGTACAGTTGACATGAACTCTTTGGCGGCCTGTTCGAACCTTGAGCTACGAAATTTATCCATGGAACATTTTTCATCAAATTCTTTCCTCTAAATTTGTTTTAATCGTTTAAATATGTCCTTTCAATGTATCATGTAATCTTGCACATTTTTAAACTGTTTCCAACCCTCCATTTCTCGAATCAATAACAAAGGAGAGAAAAAATATTACTTTATATGGAAACGGATTTTTCGGTGCTAAAACGTACATCATATTTCTACTATCAGATGCATAGCTTGAGTTGCAGATATCTGTACCATCTGAATGAACCACCACCACGACCACCAAAATTTCACTTCGATTTCTGTTGATTCTTCATTATGGACGGGATGGCCATCCAGAACCAACTGGCTATTTCACATTATTGCCGTGAATACTGTTATTATTAACATCATTCCGACGTAATAACCGTTTCATCTGAAAGTATTGTTGTAGGAGTGAATTTGTTGAAAAATTACTTGCTGAGAATTCCCTCACTGTCAAGCATATTGTTTGAAATAAAGTGATTATTACTATTATATAATATTCGAGATTTAGGCAATAATAAGGCCTAATACCACTTGTGCTACTGCAAACTGTTTTCAAGTCTTGTTACTGAGTGTATGGAGTTATTCGTTCCTTGTTTGTTCCTAACCTCACTCAAAAATAAATCTATACTTACCTATTGAGCGTTAAACAAATGTCATGGATTAATATTGCCTCTTGGTCTGATTATTGACTGAACTTCAACGGACGATTCAATGTAAAAACAACCAGTAAGATATTTTTTTAAATTTACAAGATCAGAATAATATGGACCAAATATATAGTTGATGCAAACATTACTGAAGGACAATGACATCTTCACTATCTGCTATTTTCCAGCAGGCAGGGGTCATAGTTGATCTCTCCATCGATTCTCATATCGATGAAAGAAAGGACAGTTTAGCAAAGATGCATGGTTATATTCACAAGCATTGGAGATAAATAATAGTCAACGGTTCAAGTCCAATGGCAATCCAAATTTTCATCTCACCTTCAATCATCCCCCAGTATCAATACTAATCTGCCAAACCACAGCTATCTCAGATAGTGAAAATGATAATCAATATGATGTTTCCTCTCTCTAATTCAGTTAGATTTCGATTGGGATGAGAAGTCCTGATTAGGCAGCCAGTGTGAATACGATCAAGCGGCAGTAATGCATCATAAATTAAAGTGGTAGTCGATCAAAACCATTGATGATTGAAATGAAATAAAAATCTGGTCAGTAGTTGGGTGTCGGAGCTCGGTTTGTAGAGCATAGGACCGGAAACCCGGTGGTTGATAGTTCGAAACCAGCCACGGTCCAAATTTTCCTTTCACCTTCAATCATCACCCAGTATAAATAATAGTCTGTCACCGATCAATAGCGTTCAAGAAGCGCATAAAATAGATCGAATACGTAAGTAATCAGAAGCATGAGGAGTTTAACGAGTTTGGA